ATTTTTTAGATAAAAATAATAATTATATTTAATAAATATAAATAAATCTCAATTATTAAAAGTAAAAGATGAATTGTCAAAATTTTATATAAATACATGTAAATTTTATATATAAGTAATTTTTTACTATATATAATATAAATTATTGTTTTATATTTTGAATTATAAAATAAAAATTATTAAATAATAAATATTATTTAATAATTTAAATTATGTAATTGAATATAATGCAGAGTATACAACACTTTGGGAAAAGTCCAAATCATAGACAGGTCCAATTAATTGCACCCAAGTTCATTCTGTAAATGAGGTGGCCTGGAGTTGTAAAATTAGTCCTACCAAAAGTCTTTTTTTTTTTTTTTTTTTTAATTTACATTTTAACATAAGATGAGTTGAAAATCCGCTCAGAAGGGGAATGCACGTGTGCAATAACTAATGCCATTGCACCTCTAACAGTCAGATGCAGTCCTACCAAAAAAGTCTTGATATTTTTTATTCAAGAAATTTCATTTTTTGTAGGCCGAACATAGGCCCAAACTTTATACCCAATCTCTGATGCAAGGGTCCACAGACCAAGTCACCATGTACTCATGGAGTACTTTGAGACAGTCGTGGGTTTGCATCCTTGATTTATTCCGTCATTGAGGAGATCAGGGGAAATGATCCAAACAATTAAGCCAAAAACTCTTCTTAAACCCCTAAACTTATTTTAAATTATTATTTGAGTTCCTAAGCTAAAAATAATACAAATTAATCCTTTAACTTCTCAACTAGTCCAAATTAGTCCTTTATAGCTAACAACGCATGGCCCAAACGATTGTATTGACTCTATTTGTTTTCTTCCTTTTTCGTTTGTTTTAAATGCTGATGTAGATGGATCATTAGATCCTGCCAAAATCTTAAAAACTAAAATAAAAAAGAAAATAATTTAAAAGTAATATTTTTATAATATAATTTTTTAAAAAACTTTACATATTATTTAATAATTAACTTTTTCATTTAATTGAAACCTGTATATTGTATGTATTTATATATTTAATGACATATGAAAATTGTATAAAATTTTTTTTCTACATTATTACCAAAAAAGTAAACTAAAATAAATTGAAAAGGCACTTTATCCACATCAGCACCTACATCGCCAAACGGAGTCAGTCCACAGTAAACAACCATTACACACAAAGGGATTATTTGGACCTTTAAATGCCATCATTTTTGGTTTAGGGGCTTAACTGCTAATTTGGGGTAATTTTAGGGGCTTAAGGGCTTTTGACAACAATTGGATAGTTGGTTTTTTTGACTAGCCGTTTTGCTTTGTCCAACAACGAATG